TCAGCTGGGAGCATGTGGGAACAAGCCAGCCTGCTGGGCACAGCACAAGGGGGGAGGAGGAAGGGAGGCTGAAAGGGGAGAGACAACAGCACAGCCATGGGGTAGGAAGGGGAGATCAGGTCATAAAAAGAACATGGGGTCTTGGAAGGAGACCCAACACACTGGCAGTGGTGGTGCCATGGTGGGGGCTGGGAAGCTGGGCGTGGTACAGGGAAGGGAGCTGTAGGAGGGACTTACAGTGACATCTTTTTCTATTATTTGAATTTAGTACAGGCTGCATGGATTATCTAGTCACAAAATACTAAAAGGCCAGGTGTGTGGTACAGGCCTGGAATCAGAGCACTCAGGAGACTGAGGCAAGAGGATGGAGAATACCAGGGCCAGCCCGGACTACATAGCAAGACCCTGTCTCAAAAAAGCAAAACATGTGGAGTACCTGGGTAGACAGAGCCTGGGATGTAAAGATATGTAAAGGTGCAGGCACAAGGCACTCCAGTCATTCTGTGCCACTGTCTGCTACCCCACCCCACCCCAAACTAGAGGAGCTGCCCGGAGGTCCTGGACGGCTCACTCTCAGTCAAGATCAGACACAAAGAAGCCCACAATTCTCTGTACCTCAGCAGCCTCTGCAGCCAGCCCTTTGGGACTACAAGGAGAGGGCACAGGGCCTCCTGATGTCAGCGCCAGCAACAGCAGTGTGAGGTCTATGGAGGACTATGACATCATTTCACTGCTGGACACAGATGAGCTATTCCTCCTCCAGACGGACAACAGGTAGCAAAAAGCCAGGAAAGGAAATGGTGTCCCAGGGCCTGGCAGTGGAGGCATCCTGTGTTCTCTCAGGAAGGGCAGAATCTTCAGGTGTTACAACAGGAAGTGAGGAGACTTACAGGCCTCTTTGCCATTGACTGGCTTCACAGCTTTGGTCAGTTAGGTCACTCTCCTCACCTGTGACACACTCATATCATCCTTTCCCTTGAAAATCCTAAGGATCATGGGGAGACTTTCCATAAACACACGCAAATCCCTGTCATTATCCCTAAAAACCACCCTGACCCTCTGCCATTTTTTCCCTTTAAAACCTCACTGGTCCTTGAAGTTGGAAGGTGGTATGGGTTGAACTGTGTCCTTCTCCACACACACACACACACACACACAAAGAGATGCTGAAGTCCTAACCCCAGAAGCTAGCTCCCGAACTTATTTGGAAATGGGGCCATTCTGGATGTGGTTAGTTAAGATGAGGTCATACTAGAATAGGGTGGCCCTAAATTCAGTTGGACTGGTGAACTTAAAGAGGGGAAACAGACACATAGGCAGAGATGGGAGATGAATGGAAGGCAGACACACAGGGAACAGGTGGCCATGGGACCATGGTGATGGATCCTGAAGAGGGGCAGACACCGGAGGGGACAATAGTAATCACCAGTAAGGACCACAGACTGAAACAGCTGTCCCCCTCCAAGCCCAAGAAGGAATCACTCCTGCCCATACCTTGACTCTGGACTTCAGGCCTTCAGAACTGTGAGAGAGTAAAGTCCTATTGTTTTTAAGCCACACAGTTTGTGCCCAATACAGACAGTCACTTGATTTCCCAATCCGTCTACAGCGGCCCACCTGTCCGCCAGTCTGTGCTGACCATCTCTAGCAGAAGAAAACCAAGTTAGTGTCTACTGCAGCAGCACCTCTTCCCCTTGAAAAGACCCGCCCTCATAAAAATCAATCCTTCGGCAAATAGTTATTGAGTACCTACTGTGTTGGGGCCTGTAGTTGCAGTGGCAAGTGGGGAATGGATAATAAACACATCCTCAATAAATAAGGTCATTTCTGATGCTGTTATGAAGAAAACGAAATACTGCAATATGACAGAGGAGTGGATTGGGGGCAGAGAAAAGAGGGACAGAACTTTGATTGTCAGGGAAGGTCCCACTGTGGGTATGATTCTGGAGTAGTGATCTGCATGACAGAGAGGTAGCCATGGGGGAAGTCTGGCAGGAGGAACAGCTGGTGCAAAGGCCCTGTGGTCCCATGAGCTAAGCATGCACAAAGCCCAGAAAGAAAGCGAGACCTCTGTGAGTGAGAGCAATAACTGCCGAAGGGCAGTCAGCATCTGTGTGGTCACCTAGCTGACCAAGGGAGGAAGTCTGAACTTCATCCCAAAGTGCTGGGAAGCAGCTAGGGAGAGACACCATGGTCCGATTGAGTTCTTAAGACTCAAGCCTTTCTGACTGTAATGCTTGTCCTTTGCTTCTTGGGACCTTATCAACACAGTCCAGAACTTTCTGTGATCCCAAACCCCAAGATCCTCCTTGCTTATCAACTCTAATTCCTTCACCACCATAGCAGCTTCCCATGACTATGTAGGTGCTCTCCTAAGCCCTTCATTACATGTGATGTCCAGACAAGAATACGCTATCTAAGCTAGGCGTCAGTGGGAACATTTTATCCCAGACCTGCACGTGTACCGATGAGCCTGAGAACATCTTTTGCTCTCTTTCCATTTTGGTACTGACCTCCCAAAGCACACACCAGGCAACCTCCCCCTGTGGTTCCTGCTGTGCTGCTCAGATCTAGAGAATGGTATGAGTGTGTTCCTCCCTAATGAGAACAGCTGTGCCCTGCTAAAGAAGAAAAAAAAAAGTGCCACCATCCCCCAAACAACACCACGTACAAAATATGGAAGAACACACACACATATAAGCTCACCACGTAAAAAATACCAATGAAAACAAACACAACCACTGTGCAGCAACTTTCGTGTCACAACATTCCTCTTCAGGGTGGAGGACAAGGAAAACCACGAGATAGCAAGTTTCTCTAGAATGGCCTTGTCTTCTTGCATCACAGTCTGAAGACACCTGGGCCATTTGGAAACACCCACACTTGAGCAAAAGACAGTCTGCAATCATACTTCCTACTAGATTTCTCAAAGACCATAAACAAATCTGAGTGGCCGCATCGGGTGGAGGAAGCGGTGACCACAGTGTCACTCGGGCCAGCCAGGCTGACTTAGCTGTACCACAGGGATGGGAGAAAGGGGCACTCTGCTAATGGCCCCAGCCAGGAGGCATGATCCACCTGGATTAATCTCACCTCCTTTTTTTTGGTGGTACTGGGGGATGAACTCAGGGCCTCACACTTGCTAGGCAGGCACTTTACCACATGAGCCACTCCATCAGCCCCCAAATCCTTTTTGGGGATAGGCTGCTGCATCTAGCAGTGTCAGCTGGGTTTAACACTGCACTTCACCTCCAACAGCTATGTCACCTTGGGCAAGGCAGCCTCAGCTTCCCCATCTGTGACATAGGAGTAACACCACTTGTCACTCCCAAGTTTATGGTGAAGATGAATTAAGAGCTTATGTTGAAATCACTTTTGCTGGGATTAGAGGTGTGCACCACCACATCCAGCTTTGGTATTTCTGTTAACCTAATTATTTTCCTTTTGTGAAAGGAGGCAGAGAGTGGGAGAGGGGCAGGGAGAAAGTAAGAGAAGAGAGAATGGCAGGCATGTGGCATATCTTACCCACCCTAAAGCTTACACAGGGACTGTTCTAGAGGGAGGCCCCTCAGAGCCATTTGGGGCTACCATACAGCAACTTATCTTTGAAGACATAAAGTTATTGCCATAAAGAGAGAACCACATGTAGTGTCTGGAGATTCCCTATTTCATGGGATTCTGTAGAAAATTCTTTACGGCTTGTGACTTGTTCACATCACTGGATGGCTTCTCATTGGCTTTAGTTGGGACATTCTCAGGTAATATAAACCCCTCCTCACGCTAAGTGACACCTACCACCCGAAAGACAAACACTGCAAGAAATATGGGAATGCAGAGGCTAGAGATAATCTGCCTGTCTCAGTCAGTAACTACCCGTGCCTGAGTCCTAATCCCTGCACATCTCTGTGACGGAAAAAGAAAATCTCAGGAGTCAACTTTTCCATTGAGCTGATCTCAACAGCTTATGCCTCCTGCTTCAAAGGCATAACGGTCCCTCTGAACAATGTGGGGGGGGGCGGCAGACACTTCCCGACAGAGGTGGGAAAGATGGAAGGAATGCCAGCTGATACAATCCAAACCTCTTTTTCTTTCCCTCCTTAACCCAGTGGTGAGCATCTTGGCTGCCCTGCTTCTAGGTTCAGGGAGGAGGTCACCTCTAATCAAATTAATGAGAAACATTAGCATCAGGTTACAGGACTGGATGGCAGCCTGGGCCCTGACAGCTGTCAACTTGCCTCTAGTACTGACTCACCACAGGGACACCTCCACAGTGGGGCGCCTCACCTGTGCCAGCTCACCTATGCCAGCTCAGAGGTGAGTTCCTGATCATTCTTTAGGTTGGCACTCATGTCCAACCTAAGGAGAGAGGAAGAGGGGCTGCTCAGTGCCCACTGCAGAGCTTTGTCCTCTTCCCCTTTTCATCTTCCTACATCCAGTTGACCTACAAGCTGGGGAAGCACAAAGCCTCTATAAGGGGGAACATGTGTCCAGCTTCAGGAAAACTAAATCCTGCCCTCTCCAAAATCCCTCCCAGCCAGCTGTGCTAAACTGAGCTTATCAAACTGCATCTCCCTTGCTGGGCCCTCCACAACCTCTGCCCCCCTCCCCCATCAGGACTGGAAAAGCACAGGCAGAGTTGGTAGGGTGGTCACCCCAGGCCAGAGAACCCCTTTCCCCTGACCCCCATCTGCCAGCCCCAGAAGCTAAGGGAGCGAACTTCAAACTCATCATGCACACAAGTCTTGACAACGTCCCCGCTCTCCGGTCCGTGCCCCCTCCCCAGCATGCCCTTCCAGGAGTCTTATTTTCCCCAAGAACCCAGCTCCATCCCCGAGCCACGCCACTCGACGACAGCACCTGCCAACAGCAGCCAGCGGGGACAGCCCAGCCCTCCAGGCACCGCTCCGGGTCCCCTGTCCCCAGGCAAGCCGGGACTGGGGGAGACCCCGGAGGCCCGCGCCCCCGCCCCGAGAAGACCCGCACCGTCTCACCCCACGGACCTGTCACCTCACTCCTCCTCTCCCTGTCACCCGCGAGGAGCCCCGTCCCGTCGCCCGCGACGCTGCCATCTGTCACCCTCGCAGACCCCCGCGCCGCCCCAGAACCCCGTCCGTGGCCCCGCAGCTCCCGTCGTCACTCCCGCCCAGTCCCTCGCGAGCCGGGCAGGCGAGCCCGAGGCCGGTTCGCGGCCCTCTCACCGCGGGGGCGGCCGGCCGGTGGGCACCGGGCAGCGGACGGGCGCCTTCGGGTCGGCGGCTGCAGCTACTGCGCCTCCGGTGAGCAGCCGGGTACTTACGAGGCGCCACGGCTCGAGCTGTCAGTCAGCCGGGCACGCCCCGCCCACCAGCCTGCGCAGGCGCGGGGACGCCACGCCCTCCCGGGTCACGTGACGGCGGCACCTGCTCTCTGAGGCCTGGAGAGGGGGGCCGAGAGAAAGAATCTAAGGTAGGGTTCTGATTCTGGTGGCTTCCTGGCTCTGAACTGATCAGGGATACCATTTTCCTGCCTCGCGTCCCACACGGGAGTCACATAAGCCCCGACATCTGAGAAGGGCAATCTGAGGCCGATTTTTATTGTAGTTTATTTTTGGCGGCGGTGGGGTTTGAACTCAGGGCCTCACGTTTGCTAGGCAGGCGTTCCTACCACTTGAGCCACTCCACGAGCTCCCGATTCATTCTCTGCAAGAGGGCGTCTTGAAGCCTGGCAGATTCCACCCCACCCGCTGCAGGATCTTTTTATAAATACCGTATGGTAAACACTATGCCCAGGCCATTCAGTTTCCTCTACGTCTCGAAAATTAAAAAGGATAAAAAATAGACATGCCTCCTCTGGGAGCCTTTTAGTTCCAAAAGAAGAGTAAAGAAATTGACACCCCTCCCCAAAATAATGTGGGGGTCCTATCAAACTTGGTTCCAGTGCCTAGCATAGTACAGAGCCTGACTCCGCAGTGTTGGCTCTGAATCCTTGAATTTTCTAAAGACATTTTCCACAGCTGCGGTGCAGTGCCAAAGTGCTTTCTTATATAAAATAATAAACCCCTGTTGTAAAGGGTTGGTGAAAGTCAGCGTTAGGACTGAAGTCACGGGAGGTATGCCAGTTTCAGGGGGAACTGGAGTTCTGCCACTCAAGAGAGAAGATGGCACATGGGGTGGGAATCAAGCTTCTGTCCTGTGCCCAGAGCAGAGGCTGGTCCCCGGAAAGATGACTTGTTGAACTGTGGACTTGCTGGAAAAGTTTAAGAGAACATAGAGAAAAAGTTGGGAGCTGCGGTTCCACAAGTTTTGAGAACTTCAGCATCATAGGTGTTTCTGGTCCCTTCCAGAATTGCTTGGGCAACTGGATATGGGAACTCGGGAAGGGAGGGGTGGAAGGATGTGGACACTACAGATAAGTGGGCATCCCATTGTTCTTTGTAAGGTTCTGCCCTGAGCCCAGCACAATACAAGCGCCATCACTTGTGGGAATGAGGGAGGGTGGTGCTTCAGCTGGAGGAAACCCTCCCCTTATTGAGTGACTGAGTCTGGCACAGTACACTGATTCCTGCAGCCCAGACCTGGCCTTGACAATGCCAGCTCTTCAGGAGAATTGGAAAAAAAAATGTGAGGGTCTGATTCTGTTTGGGGAACATCATTTCTCCTCAGGGATTCATGCAGACCCTCTTTCTTCTTCATAAAATGTCTTCTGACCTTGCTAGAAACAGATGTCATGGCCACTTCAAAAAAGAGGAAGACAGAGTTCTGCAAACTACAGACCACTGAACTTGACATTGGGCCTGAGAAAGATCCAGGGTAGATGACTCAGATACATTTGTGACCCCTCAGAAGAGGAAGCACCAATGACAAAGACCATATTGACCTTCCCTCCTGCTGTGAATCGTGTACACAAGGAAACAGTGGGGGTACTGTCTCTAGACCCAAAAGGGTGTTTACCAGGATTCTTTCAGGTATAACGGACAGAGATGAAATTCAAACTTTTTTTTTTAAGAAGAGGGACTATGTTGGCTCATATAACTAAAAGTTCCAGATCCAGGGGCATCAGGATCTTTTCTTTCCCCCTCTTCACTGCCTCCTGAGTTGGTTTCATTCTCAGATTAGACCGCAAACAGCTCCAGGCTTAGACTGCCTCAGTTTAGCAGCCCCAGTGGTAAAAAAGGATTCTCTCAATTCTCCCAGCAAAAGTCCCAGGATTTGCTCCAAATGGACTAACATCACTCATGTGCCCATCCCCTTGAGCCCATCTCTGTGGCCAGTTTGTTGAGATAACTGGATTGACTGGATCTGGGCAGCAGTGAGGGCAATACTTGGGTGGAGTTCAAGGAAAGGGTGGTTCCCCCAGGAAGCAAAAATGCTATTTGCAGGAGGAGGGACATTCTGGGCAGGCAGGGAAAAGCAGCAGATATCTTGGAAAAAGTATTTACTAAGGGTCCTGAGATATTGTATAAATGACACGAAAAGAAGGCAGGAGAAACAGTACATTATTGGATGGATAGCTAAGTCAGTACTCACAAATACATCAAAGAGTGATATGTCCAAAAAGCAATTACACAGATAAAGCAGGTGATGGGACTGAGCACCAGTCTCTCTGTCTGACCATCACCCCTATTTTTCCTTTTCTCTTTGTTTGTAAACAATCACTACAAACTCAGTGGCTTACAAAAAAACACATATTTATTGTCTTACAGTCCCACAAGCAAGGCATCAGTAGGGCTTGTTCTTTCTGGAGGCTCTACTCCTGGCCCTTTCTAGCTTCAAGAGGCCACCTGTGGTCCTTGGCCACGGCCCCTTCCTCCACTTTCAAAGCCAGTCTCCTTCACTCTGGAATAATCCCTTTGCTTTGCCTTGTCCTCTGAGTCACTGGTATTTAATAAGAGGACAGCCAGCTGTACCATAGGGAGACTCTCCTCTCACTTGAGGTTTTTCTCGTGGCTCCCTTGTTACTGGAATCAGGTGACACCTCTGGGCAGTGATGCTGCATTATAGATCTTGGGTCCCTCTTGGTGCTTCATATAAGGAGGGCCATACCTGTTCACCCCATCACTGATGGCACTGCCTCTGGTCAACAGTTACAGTGGTGATATTCGTCTCCACTTAAAGGTGACTTTTCCCCTTCTGTAAGTAGTCAGCAGTCTGTAAGAAGACATTTTGAGACTATTTAAATATTCTGTATCTGAAGAATTCTCATCCAGTGGCTTAGTATCTAAGAGTGACAGTTGCAAAATGTTGAATTGTTTAATTCTATCACTCTATCTGCATTTATATCTTGCCATTTCCCTGTATCTGACCTTGCTCCTCTTCAGTCTGTTCTCCACAGAGCGGCTGGAGTAACTTTCCAAAACCACAAATGTGATCAAACCTTCCAGTGGTTTCCCTCTACCCTCAGATGACGCCAGCATCCCCCATCATCTCAGGATCTGCAGTAACTGGCCCCTTCGCAGCTCCCTCGCCTGCCTCAGGCCATCTCCCTGGCCCTGAGCACTGGCCTCTCACAGGACTCGGGAAAATCCCCACCTCCCTTCCCGAAGCCCACGCCTGCCCCTTTGAGGGAAGCCCCGTCCTCTATTGCTCCCTCACTCTGCTTATCTACGCCTTTCATATATCACATCCTAAAGGAAGCCTTGTGACCCCCGGTCCAGGTCAGATTCCTGAGAACTGCATCTCAGCATGTAAAGTCCCCTCCACACTTTTCTGTGCAATTAGACTCTAAGCTCCCTACCAGGCTGGCACTGTACTGTTTTTATTCCCTGGTGTCTTCGGTACCTCACATGGTGGTAGGCACAGAAATAGCCCCCATTAAATGCTTGTTGAATGAATGACTGTGAGCCAGACAAGGACGGGGGGTGGAGGAGGACAAGAGAGGCTGGGTTATGGCTGCCTGAGTGCAGATGTCAGGGGCTCCTTCTGCGTGACTCAGTGGATGGGGTTGTGGTACCAACTTTATAGGAAGCACATCACAAGCTGGGAGACCAACTTGGTACAGAGCAATGACCTAGGGCTCCTTGGGGGGTGTGGCACAGCATAAAAGGTAGACCCGTCCCACAGTCTGCAGGCCAACTCTGCCTCAGTGTTTCATTTGGGCCATGGCTTAACTCTGTGTCCTCAGCTGTCCAAAGAGAGACTTCCAAATTTGGCAGGTGTGAGCTGCTGTCAGTGACTCACACCTGCAATCCAACCTTCTTGGGAGGCTGAGATCAGAAGGACTGTGGTTCAAGGCCAGTCCGGGCAAAAAACTTCTCTATCAACAGAAAAAAGCTAGGTGTGGTGGCGTGCACCTGTCATCCTAGCCATGGCATGCACCTGTCATCCTAGCCATGGCAGAAAGCATAAAACAGGAGGATCGTGGTCTAGTAAAGCCTGGGCAAAAAGCGAGACCCTATCTCCAAAATAACAAGAGTAAAAAAGGCTGGAGGCGTGATTCAAGGAATAGAGTGCCTGCCTAGCAAGTATGAAGCCTTGAGTTCAAACTCCGGAATTGCAAAAATCAATCAATAAATAAATTCACAGGGCTGTGAGGGTGCAGTGCCCAAGGCAGGGTGACAGGGCTAAAAAGAGGACAGATCAGGTCCTAATCCTGACTCTCCACCTCCTTTGCTGTGGACTTGAGCACACCGTTCAACTTGTCTGGGCCTGCCTACCTCCAAGAGGACAATCACTGTGAGTTCACTCAGTCACTCCATGCATATCTACTGAAGGCCTCCTTTTTTGATGGGCACCGGGGAGACAGTGAACGAGATGAGCAAAACTGCTTACCTTTTATTCAGTTCGCATTCCAGGGAGAGAGAGAGAGGGGAGGGGAGCTGACACGTGAAAGGGAGCTGAGCAGGGGAGTGAAAGGCCATATCACAGGAGTGCAAGGGAGGGAGAATGTTACCAAGAAAGCCAGGAGGAACACCCTCTGAGTCCAGTCCTAAAGAGCATGACAGTGAGCAGGGGCCATGCTGGGAAGGCACAGTGCCCAGTACAGGTCGGGCACTCAGCCAGGGTCTGCTCACCACCACCCCACAAGCCGCCCACAGATGCTGCCTGCAGATGCCATCCACAGTGCAGAGGACTTCGGGAACATGTCACACTACTCTGGGTTCAGACTTCCTGGTCTTGCCCAACACTACAGGGTGTGCAGTTCTAGTCCTCAGGCCTTCCTAATCTGGCCATTGACAAATTCAACACCACAAACTCGTGGAAAAAATAAGAAATAACCAAAGTAAGTATCTTTCCAGAAGAAATCTCTGGAACTGGCCCAGCCCTGCCTCCTGCTCTATACCGCCCCTGCATTTGCTTGTGGAAGGTCCTTACCAAGTGAATGTCCACATGACCAGC